ATTGGGAAGATAAATCTTGTTGAAGATCTAAGTGTATAGGACAGACTGGAGAAATGGGTGGTAGAGAGAGATCTAAGTTGGAGACCAGCTAGTATACTTTTGCAGTAATTCATACAGGAAGTGATATCCACCCATATATTGAATAAGGATAAAAATTATATGATTACCATAAAAATCAAAAGCCTTGATCCTCTTTCAGTGCTTTGTTTTAGACAAGTTGAATTTGAACAATAACATTCAAATAGGAGGTACTGGATGGGCAGGTTTTGGAGATGACAGGGCTAGGGAAACATTGAGAGTTATTAGCACAGAGGTAATTGTTGAAATAATAGGAGTAAATGAAGTCACCAGGGGAGACTTGTGGATTTCTAGGATATTGGAAGGCTCCTATTTATCCTTCCAGAATGAAAGCCTAGGTGTCATCTCTTCTAGGAAACCTTCCCTGATCACCATCTCCCTGGCCCCCCCCACCACTACTGACTTAGGGGTCCTTTCTCTGCTTCCACAGAGCCCTGTGTATGCCCCTATTTATCACACTGTATTATTGTTGAGTGTTTCCTCTTTTCCTTGAGCTTCTAGAAAGCAGGTTCTAAATTTTTTTTTTTTTTAATTTTTAATGTTTATTTTTGAGAGAAAGAGAGACAGGGCGTAAGGGGGTGGGGCAGAGAGAGAGGGAGACATAGAATCCAAATGGAGCTTCAGGCTCTGAGCTGTATGCTGTGCAGCGTTGGTGGTATAGTGGTGAGCATAGCTGCCTTCCAGGCTCTGAGCTGTCAGCACAGAGCCCAACACACGGAGCTTGAATTCATGAGCTGTGAGATCATGACCTGAGTCAAAGTCGGTTGTTTAACCGACTAAGCGACCGAGGCGCTCCAAGCAAGTACCAAAAATTTTTTTAATAAAAATTTTTAAAGTTTATCTATTTATTTTGAGAGAGACAGAAAGAGCATGAGGAGGGGAGGGGCGGAGGGGGGGGAACCCCAAGCAGACTCTGCAGGGTCAGCGCAGAGCTGGATGTGGGACTCAAATTTATGAAACTGTGAGATCATGACCTGAGCTGAAATCAAGAGTCAGACACTTAACTGACTGAGCCACCGAGGCACCCCAGGTACTTAAACTTACTCAACTCGTGTTCTCCTGGCCTATAGAAAGCTCTTGAAAAATGTTTGCTGAATATAATCAGATTCTACGATTTGTTGCTTTCCCAAGGAAGATATCCTTTAGTATCTCCTCCCTTCCCTCCTCTCAGCCAATTCTGTTGCCCCATAAACCAGTTATTCTTTTTGGGGTGTAACCTCCACCTTTTTCCACTGCAGTTCAGCATCTTCTTTGATCTCTAGGGGGGAATGGAAACCATTTCTGATCTCTTTTGAGAGATGGCAATACTGACAAAAAATTTTACCTTCTTGATCCCAGATTCTCTAACCTCCTCAATTTGTAAAAGGAAGTTATAGTTGGAGAGGAAAGGGAGATCTATATGCCCTGTGATGGAATGCCTGGGAACTTGAAGAGAAAAGATTTTCTGATTAAGTAACCCTATCCGCTAATTTCAAAACAAGCTGGAGTCTAGAGACAGGCTAACTTGCAAATACCAGCCCCTCACAGCACCACCTAGTGGATAAAAAGAAACTAACACGGAGTGTCTGGGTGGCTCAGCCCCTTGAGCCACACAAACTCTTTTATTTTGGCTCAGGTCACGGTCCCACGATCCTGGGATGGATCCCTGCCCTGGGCTGAGCATGGAGCCTGCCTGGGATTCTCGTTCTCTCTTCCTCTGCCCCTCTCCCCCACTTGCACTCTGTTTCTATAAAAGGATAAGATAGGATAGGATAGGATAGGATAGGATAGGATAGGATATGACATGACATCACATGACACGATAGAAAAAATGAAAAAATATATAAAAATGAAATGAAATAATAAAATAAAATAAAGTAAAATAAAATAAAATAAAATAAGGGCTCTGAGACCATGAAGGTAAATGGCCAATTCTAAATTAACTCACTTTCAGATCTCTAGAATCTTTGCTATTTACACATTAGGAGGAATCATCAGCAAAGGGGAAAGAATTGCCAAATAAATAGTAATATAGCTTCAAGAGTATAAAAAAAGCAAGGAGCTAATTTACTTTGCCATAAGCTATAAGGGCCCATTGGGGAAATAATTAAACTAATAACCTTCTACCCCAACCATCCCAAAGAGAGAGACCAGAGAGAGAATGTGTGATGCCCCAGCCCCTTGGTATTGATTTTATCAGTGGCTTTCAAATGTATTTTTCTGCAAACCAAGGTAAGGAATACATTTTATATCCTCACTCAACACTGGAAACAAAATTATCATGAGACATATTTATCCTTATTAAGCATCAGTCTCTGCTATTTTCTAGTCTACTCCACTTAGAAACACCACTAGTAGGGTGCTTGGCTGGCTCAGTCAGTAGAGCATATGACTCTTGATCTTGGGGTTGTAAGTTCAAGGCCCATACTTGATGCAGAAAATACTTAAAACCTTGAAGAAAAAAAACCCCAACATCCTACTGGCCAGAACTTTCTAAATTGATTTCATGACTCACATTTTGAAAAACACTAGCCAGTCTATGTGTAAATTTTCATCCTATATCAACACTGGTGTTTTGCTAAGGAAAAGTGCCCCTACAGAATTGAAACCAAATTCACCATATCTCTTCCATGCTGCCAAGCCTTTGTGCACAGTTGCTCTCCCCTACCTGCCTTTGTTGAGATATGAGTCATAATCTTCTTCAAAATCCAACGCCATCATTAAGTCTTTCCATTCCTCCAATCAGAAGAAATTATTTCTCTCTTAGTTCTCCCTCAAAACAGTGCTGGTACCTCTACCCTAGCACTTAATTAATGTGCCTAGTACTCAATTAGTGATTTACACAACTTATAGCTTCCTTAAATGAAGGTTCTACATACTCATAATTGCATCCCTGTATTCATAATTGCATCCCTCCAGATTGGCACAATGACTAACAGGGCCCAACAAATATCAAAATAAACTTGTATAAAACTACTTAAGATCCAGAAAATTTAGAAGCACCTGGGTGGCTCAGTTGGTTAAGTATCCAACTTCGGCTCAGGTCATGATCTCACAATTCATGAGTTCGAGCCCTACATCGTTGCTGCTGTCAGAGCAAAGCCCACTTCAGATCCTCTGCCCACCCCTCCCCCCGCCCCCGTCCCTAACCCACTTGTGCGCTCTCTCTCAAAAATAATTAAAAACATTAAGAAATACATTTTAAAAATAATTTTAAAAATAAAATAAAGATCCAGGAAATTCAAAGATTTACTGAGGTAAATCCTTTTGCAAAGCACTTAATCTCTCCCTAGTAATAGTTAAGTATGATTCCTCTAAAACATCTGAACTTATAAAATATCAAATATCTATATACATAAGCCAATTAAGCCTTATTTATAAAATTTTCGTAATTGTGCAGGGGTCCTACAGAAGGAAACTCAGGCTTTTAGTCTCACACTGAGGTGCCCAGGCAAGTCCTTACTAATGAGCTCAGCCATTTGAGGCACAAATTATCCCTCGTCTTCTGTTTCTATACATGGCTTGTGGCCTTATTCATTAAGTATTTGAGAATTTACTATTTGGGGTAGTGTGATGCAATGATAAACAGTCCCAGGGCTGGATGAGTGCAATGATCTAACAAGGAGGAGGGCTAACACGGAACCGAGCATAACATAATATAATAAATCCCATCACAAACCTAAGTAAGGAAGCAAGTTCAGAGAGGCATCTAAATTAATATTTGAAGCTAATGGAAGTCTTCCTAGAGAGGATAACACTGAGATTCAAAGGCTAAGAGTTGACGAGGCAGAAGGGGTCAGCAAGAATATTATAAGCAGAGGGATCAGAAAGGACAAAGCCTCTCTGAGGCTGAGAGAGAATATGGCTCTTTTAATAGAAAGTAGTCAGTGCACTCGGGAGCACATTTTGACCAGAGCTGAAGAATGGCAAAAAATGAGGCTAGATTGTATGGGACCTTATGGGTCAGGCTAAAAACTCTGAACAACGGAGGCAGTTCATTACAGTTGACTTCCCTTCCATTGGTCTCTACACTAGCAGCTGGCTAGAAAGAAAGATTGTGGTGAGGGTGTGGGAATCAGATATGCAAAAATTAAGTGACAGCTCTAAATGCCTCTTCTTGTATTAGTTTGTCAGACAATGCCATCTTGGGGTAGCATCTAAGAAAGTAAAATTTCAGAAGAGCTGCCCCAGTGATGCTGTGAAGTGGATTATTTGTGGAAAGAAACAGTAAGGAAGGTACAAAGGCCCCACTGTTATGCAGCAGGATAGTAATGACACATGTAAATTAACATGTCAAATTCAATTTGTTCTAAGTTTCCTTTTATTATAACCTAATTACTATTCACTGAAGTCTGAGCAAACAGGTACAGAAATCAGGGTCACTAATTTGGTCATACACTCACAATTTTTAAAAATTAAAAGGAATAGGGGGCGCCTGGGTGGCTCAGCTGGTTAAGCAGCTGACTCTTGATTTCAGCTCAGGTCATGATCTCACAGTTCATGAGATTGAGCCCTGCCTGGGGCTCCACACTGGGCATGGAGCCTGCCTGAGATTCTCATTTTCTCTCTCTCTCTCTCTCTCTCTGCCCCCTCCCCCTGTTCACATGCTCCCGAATGCTTTCTCTCCCTCTCTCAAAATAGTTAATGGGGGGGGGGGGGGGGGGGGGGGGGGGGGGGGGAGGAAGGGAACCTGGGTGGCTCAGTTATTGAGCATCTGACTCTTGATCTCAGTTTAGGTCTTGATCTTGATCGCAGGATCGTGGGTTCAAGCCCGGTGTTGGGCTCCACACTGAGCATGCAGCCTACTTGAAAAAGAAAAAAAAAAGGAATATTACTCTCAATATTTGTCATCCTGTACCAAACTGGAGGACATAATACACCTACTGGAAGCTGGAAAGAGGGACAAAGCCAGACATGTTGTCTACTTGAGTTTATTCTGTTCTTTAAAAAAAAAACAAAAAACAAAAAACAAAAAAACAAAACAACAACAACAACAAAAAAAAAAACGGTGAGGGATGGCGGGGGAAATAACCCATAAACACTGTGAACAGGAACCAAGACTCCGACTTGAGTGTACTCCCCCTACCCTCAACCTCAGTTCTCTAAGACATTCCCACCCGCCCAATTTTCTTTTAAACAAGACACCCAAATCAGCAGCAAAGGTACCTGGGGTAATCACTGAGATTTTGAACACTGGGAATGGGAAGGAGAAAAGTCCAAAAAATAGGAGTTGGGAAGAAGAGGGAAGGAATGACGGCGAGGCTAGGCTCCGGAGGACGGAGTTGGGCCACGAGAAGTGGAAGTGAGTCAGTAGGGAGGGGGTACCCCCCTGACTGCTGCTGCCCACATTCCCCAGGACCCCAGAGAGCCCCATGGTTTTTTCTGCAGTCCATTCCCTGCTCCCCAAAGGCCTCACAGGCCCAGCTCCAAGTCCTCGAGCTCCTCCTCTAGCGCCCTCCTCCGCGCTAGCTTCTCCAGCTGCTCTTTGCTGGGTTGGCTGATTTCCCCAGCCTGGATCCGTTGCTGCAGCTCTTCCACCTGCCGAAGCTTCTTCTTTAGGTTCTTTATCTTCTTGGCCTTCTCGGTGGTGACGGCTGAGTCAGGCTGGTCAGAGGCAGCTGCAGGGGCTGCCCGGGAGCCCTGCGGAGCGCTGGAGAGTGGGGCAGTCTCTCCCAGGGACACCTTATCGAGAGTCCGGCTTAAGGCCTCTGCCTCCCCTTTCTCTTGCTGCTGCCGCCGCTTCTCCTTCCGCTTCAGGTTGCGTTTGGCTGTCTTGGAGAGGCCTGGTTCGCCACCTTCTGGCCTGGATGGGGTGGCAGGAGCAGTGGCCTCGGGGCTCAGACCTGGGGGCAGTTCGGGTTTACTCTTGAAAAACTTCACATACTTGTTCTCATACCTGCAGGGAAGAGATGCCATCAGTTTCAAAGAAGCACTAACTTCTGGAGCCCTTTTCTTAACCTTCCAAATCAATCCACTCTTTTCATTCTCTCGCTTCCTTCCTCTCCTATGGTCCCTCCCCAATTTTCTTCTGTTCTGCAGGCTGTGGGAAGGTCTCTAGGACTCATAGTTCCATATCCTGAATGCTGTTTGGAGATTCTGATAAACAGAGGCCAACAGGAACAGAACTAGTCACTTGTAACCCTCACTCATCGCTGTATCCCAGCCCCCTCTCCTCTTCTTTCTCATATAGTTGCTCCCTCCTCGCATTTCATGAGATATTGGGATCAGGAGATTCTTCTTTTCTGTGGATTCCATTAAATACCCCCTCCTCACGCCTAACCACGCACACTGGGACCTCCTCCTGGGGCACATAGCCTTCTTTCACCCTCCGCTGCTTCCGCCAGGTCCCGTCGGGTCGTTGTGTTGAGGCAATGTATTTGCCTGCAATGAGAGAATTAAGTTAGACAGTTACTCTAACTTTCAAATAGTTCCCAATTTGAAAACATGAGTGAATGTATGCAGCTTCCCTGGGCACCCATCTGTCTATTAAATGCAGCCATTTAGCTGAGTGCATAATAGCTGAGTGCGCATTATTTACTGAGGTATAATACACCATCCCTGCCCTCAGGAGTTTCTATTTTTACACTATTTTCTATTTTTAATCTAGTTGGCAAGAGGACAGGCACAGAGGAAGAGTTTAAAAAAAAAAAAACACAAGACAATAATAGCATTGGGGCATCAAAAGGCAATAACTGAAAAAGGGGCCAAAAGGGGGCAAAAACAAGAACCGTAGCAAGGAGAAATGACGAGAGAAGATGTAGACAGGGGAAGCTTTATTAAGATGGGTCATGAAAAACAGGTCAACTTTTAAGAATCCATACTATAGATATAAAAGCACCAGTACACAAGGATATTTGTAAAGGATGTTTGTTGCTACATTATTTAAAACAGCAAAAACTGGGGCGCCTGGGTGGCGCAGTCGGTTAAGCGTCCGACTTCAGCCAGGTCACGATCTCGCGGTCCGGGAGTTCGAGCCCCGCGTCGGGCTCTGGGCTGATGGCTCAGAGCCTGGAGCCTGTTTCCGATTCTGTGTCTCCCTCTCTCTCTGCCCCTCCCCCGTTCATGCTCTGTCTCTCTCTGTCCCAAAAATAAATAAACGTTGAAAAAAAAAATTTAAAACAGCAAAAACTGAGGCAACTTGAATGACCACCAATAAATGAACAATCGAATACATGTGGATCATCCACAGGATGGAAGACCATGCTCTTATGAAAAAAGAATGTCAGATATAAATGCACTGACTTTCTTTGCTGCCAGTTATACGCTGTTGTTAGAAAAAATGAACAGCAACACTGAACACTAGAAATGCACTTTGCTCAGTAATACTTGAGTTGTTGCAATATTTGATTATCCATTTGGTTGTTACAGAAAAATTCTTAACTGTAATGATGGCTGTTGCTGTAATAGTATATTGCCTGTATTTCTACCTCTATTAATGAGCTTTATGTGCTAGATTTTAATATCCTTGTGCCTGGGCAAGTACACAAGTCTTTAAAAAACAAACATGGTTTACTTGCACAAAACTGATCAGTTTTGACGGATCGTTAATGCCCCTGAAGTGGTTTTGTGGGTGTGAAACAAATGGTGAGAATCTGAATTGGTCCCTCTTATTATAGAATTGAAATTAAGTCTACTTACTTTATCAAGTCATGTTCATGCCCTGATTTTATATAGTTGCATCTATCAATACACATTGAAAACACAATAAAAAATAAATAAACGCATTGACTTTGGCTTGAATGGTGTTCATGATACACTAAGTGAAAAAGCAAGTTGCAGGATAACATATAGAGTAGTTATCCTCCAAGTTTTTTTATTTCAGGATCTTCCTTCTGCTCTTATTTTGCAATATTATCCATTTCACCATGCAATATTTTTTTAAAAACCATATTCGCTAATATCCTCAGAAAAGTCTTTACTGGGAAGCTGCCAAGCTGGCAGTGGCAAATATAACTTTTCCAAAATTCTGATTTTTACTTGAAGACTTGAATTTTACCATCGGCAACAAATACTGTCAGTTGTTTTCCTTGAAATGACGGGTTCACTTCCTTCATTTTCAGGAAAATGCCAATCAGATTCCCAGTTCTGAATTACTGGTTTGTCAGTGGTTCTTTTAAGTAAAAATGGTGTTCCATGAAAAGGAAGCTGTTTAGCTTGTGACTTGCAGACAATTGCGCCAGTGCTTTTCCTTAAGACACCACCTTACTCCAGTGTGCGGTAGTGTTTCATCCTTACTTCCCAATTAGTCCACAGAGAACATGAAAGAGATGAGTAACTTCCAGTTACAAAATGAGTTAAGTTGTGAGGAATCTAAAGTACAGCATGATAACCATTATTAACAGAACTGTATTGTATTCTTGAAAGTTGCTATGAGAGTACAGTTTTAACAACAAGATGGATGGCGATTCCGTGAAGTGAAGGATGTGTTAACTAACCTTATTGTGTAAACATTTCACAATATATACATGCATCAAATCACACTGCACTCCTGAAACCTACACAATGTTATATGTCAATTATATTTCAATAGAGCTGGAAAAAAAATAAGTAAAAAGAGGTGTATTCAAGGGCCAGGTTTTAATAAAATTAGCAAATCTTATTGCATAATCAAGGATATTCTTAAGTGAAACTGGCCTTATTTACTGCAACCATGTGGCGGCAAAGAACACAATGACTGGTCGTTTGATGCAACCACCTTGATTAGTGCTAAGGGGCCAGCGGTTTTCCCCACCATGGCTTTTGCACCCTCAGAGGAAATGTCAACCCAGCAAAAAAAGACAATGAACACCTTAGTCTATAATAAAACCAGTTATGCTTGCAGACGTCCTTAAAGTGTCTTAGGGAACCCGCAGAGATCCTGGACATTCTGAGAACTGCTGGTGTAGGGTATGCTCCCGATTTTGTTGGGGCAAAAGGAGCAGCACTTAGTAGTCCATACAGTCTGGGCACAGGGGCAAAGAGAAAGGTGTGGAAGGACACATACCAAGATACCAAGCCTTTAATGCTGGTTATTTTAAGAGGGATAACCTGGAAGAAGAGGTAATAGAAACCATTAACCATTAGGATATATACTTTTTGCCCCTATAGATATCTTTATTTTTATAATTTGTTTTTAAAAATCTTATATATACATACATATCTTGTATTACTTTTTTTTTCTTAAGTAGGCTCCACATCCAACATGAGGCTTGAACCCACAACCCTGAGAGCAAAAATTGCATGCTCTACAGACTGAGACAGTCAGATGCCTCATGTATTATCTTTTTTTTTTTTTTTTTAAGCATTACTTTTATAAAAAGAAAGAAAGATTTGTAAAAGAAAAGTAAAAAGTTAAGTCTGGGGCCTTCCACACAGATTATATATTGTTCCATGAATTGGCTTTTTTTTTTTTTTTTTAATGTTTACTTATTTATTGGGACTGGGGGAGAGGCAGAGAGAGAATCCCAAGCAGGCTCTGCACTGTCAGCACAGAGCCCAACCCAAACTGTGAGATCTCACAAACTGAGATCATAACCTGAGCAGAAATCAAAAGTCGATGTTTAACTAGGGACCCCTGAATTGGCTTTCTGTTCAAAATGCAAATGTCATTAATAAAATTAAACTAAAAGCAAAAAAACTGTTAAAGAAAATGGTTAAGATTTGAAAGGTAGAAAAGATGGGACAAAGAACAAAAAAGCAAAAAAAAGCATGGATGTGGGAAGGGGGTTGGGGTATTTAAAGAATAAAAAGTAGAGGAGTCTAGGTAAGTCAGACAGCTCATGTTAGGTACTAAAAAATGGGGCCAGATCTTGGAAAGCGTTAAACAAAAGGTCAAGGAATTTGAAGTTTATCTGGTGAATAAAACGAGAGCCACTTGAGGATACTGCTTGCTTAAATCCAACAGTTTAAACACAAGAGTATAAATTGAAGAATCAAAAAACTGAGGTTTCATGGAGGGAAGACTGAGACCGAACCTGGGCTTTAAAGAGTCAAACTAAAGGAAATGAAAAAGGAGGCAGATTGAATTCTAAATAGAAGCTCATTCTAAAACAAAATGTCACACATGGGAATGGAAATGGCATGATCAGGAGATGGTGGGTGAGAGGGCTGATATAAAGTAAATGAGAGGAGGGGCGCCTGGTGGCTCCAGTTAAGCATCAGAGTTTGGTTCAGGTCATGATCTCACAGTTATGAGTTTGAGCCCCACATCGGGCTCTGTGCTGACAGCTCAGAGCCTAGACTTCTTCGGATTCTTTATCTCCATCTCCCTCTGCCCATTCCCAGCTCGCATGTGTGCTCTCTCTCTCTCTCTCCCTCTCTCTCTCAAAAATAAATAAACACTAAAAAAAATTTGGGGGGGGGGGCACCTGGGTGGCTCAGTTGGGTTAAGCAGCCGACTTCGGCTCAGGTCATGATCTCGCGGTCCGTGAGTTCGAGTCCTGAGTCGGGCTCTGTGCTGACAGCTCAGAGCCTGTAGCCTGTTTCAGATTCTGTGTCTCCCTCTCTGTGACCCTCCCCCGTTCATGCTTTGTCTCTGTCTCAAAAATAAACAAGCGTTAAAAAAAATACTTTTTTTTAATTTTTTTTAAGTAAATGAGGGGAGAATGTTCAGACCCTGAAACGCCAGTTAAGGAGTTTAATATCTGGCAGGTGGCACACATTCAGTAAATACTTGTTAATGAATGAATTCAAAGCAGTGTTTTAGGACAATTAATCTGGCAGGATGAAAAGGTGAATTAGAAAGTGGAAACACTGGAGACGTGGAAAATCAGGGGGAAAAAAGGTGCAATAACCTTGGCATGTGATAGAATTGGCTGAAACAGTGAGAAAGGAAGAGACTTATGCCAAATCCATTATCAAAGAATCAACATTTGGGAATTTGCTGATGGGAGAGGGGTAAAGGGTTAAAGTAAAAAATAATTTGGGGCTCCTGGGTGGCTCAGTCTGTTAAGTGTCCAACTTTGGCTCAGGTCGTGATCTCATGGTTCATGGGTTTGAGCTGCAAACCCATGGACCGTACTGGCAGCATGGGGCCTGCTTGGCAACCTCTGTCTCCCTCTCTTTCCGCCCCTCCCTCGCTTATGCACACTCTCTCTCTCAAAAATAAACATTAAAAAAAAAACCTCTTAAAAAAATAATTCAACACGTTATTTTAGTAATTCTAACCTTGAGAATTTAGCATAAGGAAATACCTCCAACAGGAAAAAAAAACAAAAAGGAAAAAAAGGAACTGACAGTGAAAATTATGGCATTATCTAAAAAGAGCTAAAAATTAAAAACAAGCTTCAAGTCCAGTTATATACGAATGGTGTACAACACATCCATTGCAAATGATAACAGGGTCGCCTGGCTGGCTCATTCAGTAGAGTGTACAACCCTTGATCTCAGGGTCAAGAGTTAGA